GCGTATTTTGGAGGCCGCCTTACTCAGTAGTCCTATCGGACAAGTGATTGACTTCGTTGGCGTTTGTGTTTACCCCAAACCCAATTTCCACTTAAAACCTGCTTACGGCCGAAAATAAAGGACTGATGCCGTATAGTTGTTGATTAGCCTGGTAACCGATCCTCTTATCTGTTTGGTTTTCATGGTGACCACTTGCTTTCCACCACAACCCTACTTGACTATCTTGCACACCTAAGCAAGCAGTCATTTTCTGACAGCTTTCTTTCCTTATCGTTCAAGTTACCGAAAGAAGGCTCTCGATCTGTCCGTCCCATTCCGTTTATCGGGTCTGCTCAACCACGCGAATGTTGAACTCGTCACTTCGGACGAACAGACAGATGAGTCCGGTGGAGCCGGCAAGTCCGTCCGCGTATGCTTGCGACTGGAAGATGGACATCGTGTTGAATGGGTGGGTTCCGTGAGCACTTGCCTCTGGGACATTCTTGAGGCTTTGGCTGCTTCCGAACCAAGGTAAGCATTTGGCTTCCGTTTAAGATTCAATGTTTAATATATGTTCAGTGTTAATTTGTACTTGGAAATGACCAAAGTACTGCGTTAAGTTTTCAAGTCCCATGAGAAGTCACTAATCAGTTTTAGTTTGAAAGTAGATTTTTGATTTATTCTGCGCCTTCGTGTTCCAATTGTGCAACCCAAATGCTTTAGTTCTTTCGGTAACAAAACGCCCTCTCAATGCCTGCACATGAAAATCAACTGAATGACTACGTAGGCAAATTTTTAGCTCGATTTGCTAAAGTTGATTTCAGTCTGAGAAAAAGCTCTTAAATTACTGAATTGTCAGTCTGTACTTCGGTTGCATCACACGGCGATGCATTGTTGCCCCAAGTCGATACACTATGCCTACTCCAGCTAATTGCAACGGTCCAGAGTGCCTTGAAGATTCTTTTATGCAGAGATTGACCCTCAAGACTGTCCCCACATCGACGCCTCAGCAGTTTTCTACCGAATTTGTTACAGTATTTGGGACTGCAACTACGTTAGGGATCCTGGGTTTCCATTGCAAACCCACCAACAGTAGCGTAAATATGGTACCTCGGGGCTAAACTCAAGCTCGCAGCTTGCAACTCACATTGGAGCAATTGGCCACACTTTTGAAATTTAACATTCGACCATCTTGGACCGCGAGGTACCTCAAAGGCAGAGCGACTCGCACTTACGGCATGAAATTCGGAGGCTGAGTCTATCAAAAGGCATCGAGACCTTCCTGTGGCTTATAGGGCCCTACGTCATGACATATATGAAGACCAAGGCAAGGTGGTCACAGGTAACTTGAGAAATCTGTGCAGGCACGGTCTCGCGACGAACCCACCCAGCTTAAAATCATCGAGGTAACGACGCACAATATCAGTGGCCGTTAAGCCCCCACAAAGATTTGCTAAAAGGCTGAAAAATCAGAAAAAGGATAAAAATGATCAGTCTAAGATTGATTTTCCGCATTACACGTTTTGAAAATGCAGAGCTAAGAAAGCTCTTTGAAAAGTCAACGACGGGACATACCAGCTCTTTTGAGCCAGGGTTGGTTGACTCT